AGATAATATGTTTTATCCAAAAAGAGAGTTAAACGTTAACACATCTGGAGTTGAAAACATTGGTTATTGTATGAAGGAGATAAATTGAAAATTACTTACTGCAACAGTAATTGATATAGCAGCGTATGATCAGCTCAAGAGTAAAGTAACATCAATAGAAAATAATTTGCAGTGAGCAACTAAACTGAAAACGCATGTTGATGATCAGTGTATGTATTATTCCAAAATGAAGAGCATGATTTAGATCAGTTTACATAGTGCAGGATTAGAAGCTATTCAATTGGAGTACTTTATCACTTAGAGGTGGCAAACCTCCTGTAGTCTCAGAAGCAGATTTGACAGTTTGTGAGGTATTTGAAGAAATATCATCAATCTCATCATCAGTAAAAGAGGCAATTTCAAAATCCTCATCATTGACAGACTGTGTCGCAGATTCATTTTCTTCCTTGTCTAGCGACACTTCTTTTGACACACTGCTCTTCGGTGATGAGTCAGAACCCTCTACATCAACCGGCTGAATGTTAATATAAAGGAATGGCTGTGCTAAGCTCCTGAAACTCTTCTTGCAGTTCACCTGTGTTTGTATGGTGGTAATTTCCTTAATAACTCCAAAATCCGCTATGTTTATTGTGGCTGATCCCAAGAGTTGACTTTTGGCTGTCTTGTCATTTTGGCGTTCATACAAGTAAAAGTCTAAGCAATTCTTCTGAAAAACGTCATGGTGTTTGCCTCTTTTGGATGACTCTCTCAATAAAAGTAATGGAAGCCTGAAAGACTCGTTGATCTCAATTTTCCCATCTTTTGAACTACAAGCAAAAGACCCTGAATTTTTATCACCATTTTCCCATTGCAGAACAACTGATTGAGCAGATCTCAGTGACTTAGAAGGAGGCCAGGGTCTGATCTCCTGAACATGGATGATGTAGTGCACTTGGATTGAGACAGTTTTTCTACTCTTTGATCTTATTCCCAGGACCATATTAACAAGAAGCACAATTTCCTTTCTTAGTGTGCTGATACACTATAAATGATGAAACCTGAATAGAAAACAAAAGTTGGTTCAGAGGAAGAAAAATTCTAACATGCCTTACTTCATACCAAAGAGAAACTTGATTGACAAACTTTGTAGCAGAAAAAGAACACTTGGATGACCAAAGGGGGCAAAAAGAAAAACAGCCAATTATGGTTTTAACGGGAAAAGAGAACGTGGAAAGCTCTCCTTGTTCAAAATAAAAATAAGATGCCGGGAATAGCCACCTACCAGGCTACCCAAAATAAATTATTTAAAAAACTAATTATCAAGCCAAAATGAAATAAACAATATACCAACTGAAATAAAGAATTTTTGTACAGAAAGACAAACACTACCGACTGGAATGAGGTAAGAAAGAAAAACATCCCCAGGCGGACTTGGACAAACAAAATAATTAAATGCATGAAAACGTTAGCTAAATGGACAAATCTTTAAACTATAATAAAGCCATCCTGTTTTAGCAGTGACCAAAGTGATGAAACAACTTAAATGGACAATCAATAATTAGCCAAACCAGCCAAACATCCGGATGCGGAAAAAGAAATGCAGGAAAGCAAAGAAAGCATCCACCGCTAATTTGTGATCAGATCAACAAAGGTAAGACCATAATAATAGCCGGAAAATTTGAACCTGAACACAGGATTGAATTGCTGGGATGCAAACCAGTAAAGCAAAGAAGCCCTGTGATGGAACGAAGGCACAGTGACAACAGTGAAAGTGAGGAAAATGAAGAGGGCGATCCTCCCCGTGATTACTGCTGGTGGGAAATGGGCATCTTCGTCTTTCAATTCAAAGGTGGGGACAAACGCGAACAATGTGCGGCGAAAACGTAAAAGCTGAGAAGCGAAGGAAAGGAAAAAGCTCAAATAAGGTGAAAACGAATACGAGAAAACGTGTCCGTAGCAGAGAGGGATGTGGGAAAGCGCCATGTTAACAGTGGGACAAGAGTTTAATCGCGAAGTTACGCACAGTCGCATCACATTACGTGTATTATTTAAAAAATTACACCTTTTTTAATCCCACGCGCTTCAAAGTTTACTTTGAATATTCGTTTTCTATCACAACTAAACTCCTTGAAAAAATGTTATAAGTGTCAGAATCTTAACGATTAACCTCAAAATAATGTTAGTTACTTGTTTAATTTTAGATCCATACTCAATTTTTAAGCACACGGAGTCAATAGATTATTATGCGGGTCCCTACCAATATTTTTTTTTCTTTGCAGAAAATAAATGCCCAATGATAATTGTTTCGATCATCGTCTCAATGATTATCGATACACAATTTAAATTCATCATATCACGTCACAATTTTGACATTTTATCAATATACTCCTCCGGTCCTTAATATAAGACTTATTTAACTAATTTGATTAGATTAAGAAAGTTAGGTAAGTTAGTTAATTATTAAAAATGTGATATGTTTTTCCTAAAACACTATAATCATTTTTCTTAATACCCCCATCCCTCTTTTATTTGATTATGGTTGAGGGAGTATTTATAGGGTTAATTTAGAGAAAACTGATAAATATGAGAAATGGGTCTTATATTTAGGACCAAAACCAACTCAATAATTGGGTCCTATATTAAGGACCGAAGGAGTATTAATTTTTCATGTTTGACGCTTTTAATAAAATCTTCTGAAAAAACACGCATCAAGTTCTGAAAATTCGGTGGCTCAAAGATCGTCTAACTAATTGTCCTACCTTTATTTTTTAAATTTAATATTTTAAATCAATGTTTAACATTTATCGTAAAGAGACCTCAAATTGAAGATCGATATTACGCCAACCAGTCAGTTTTATCAACCTTGGAAGATACTTCCCATTGCTTCAGGGGGTTAAGGAAGGGTAAGTTTTCTTAATTACTCTAATCCACACATCAGGATTCAGGACTGATTTTACGTCAAATGAAAAGAATTTGATTTTTCCTAACTGGTGTTGGAGAGTTTGAAACGTTTGAATAAATGGGGAAAAAATCATGTAGAGTGACTTTCATTAACAATGATGTGATATCTTAAAAACAATTTTTTAATTGTGATTTAGGACATACGAAGTAAATATGTGAAATAAATTTCATCTCGATTTGTATAAACATATTTATAATAGGTATTTCCAAATAAACATACAAGTGAGAAATTTAAAAGTGACTTTTCGATTCTTAAAATTAAAAGTTAGTTTGAGTAAAAAAAAAAAAATCATGTTTGGTATAATTTGGGAGGTAAATAACTCTTTGTCTAGAAACTCTGAAACTGAATTCAAACAATTTTTTTTCTAACTTTTATTTTTAATATTTGATTTTTTAGATTTAAGTATCTTGAAACCAACTTATGTAATCCAAACAAATTTGTGCAGCGTCTTCAAGCTAGTTAATGATTTAAGATAAAAAAATTACTCATCATAGAACTAGATTTCAAATTAATCAATGTATCCAAAAAATAAAATTACTCTGCGGAGTATATTAATAATCCAATTTTCATTTGATCATGAACTAATTTGAAGGCGCGCACACACTCCCTCAGTCTAATATTACTTTTGATCTTTAATATAAGACCTAGTTGATTAACTTAGACAGATTAAGAAAATTAGTTAAATTAATTATTTATTATAAATATGCATTACCTTTCCTACTTAGAATATCTTTACTAATCATGTATATTACTAGTTAGAATTACTATTTGATGAAACATTTAATATGTGCAACTACTATAAGGACTATTTTGAGAAGAAATCAATAAATATGAAAAACAAAATGAATTAAAATTTTATATTTAAAACTAAATTAAAAATCAAATAAGCTGTTGTGATAAAGAATAGAGGTAGTATGTGCGTGTGATCTTAAACCTGTTTCTCTGACCAGCGAGTTATGTTAAGCCATACGATCTTATCAAAAACTTATTTTTCATTTTCATCACTTCCTATCACTTTAGTTTAAACCAATGCTTGAATAACTATTTTTGTAATCTATCACTTCAATTTGTTTTTCGAAGCAATCTATCTCGGCATTTAAACTAATATCTGAAAAAGAAAATTAGGTGTAAAAATAACAACCAGGTGAAAAAGAAAAAAAAAAAAATCATCAACAGCATCATCCTTTCTCATGCATTCTCAAGAGATTACATCGGAAGGTTGAAAGGTCATAATCCTATCATTTTCACTTTTTGTTTTATTCCGTACTTTATTTTTTTCCCACCTAATCCCCCATCAGTACTCTATCTCTGGGATGTTTGAACTTCGAAGGAATCTCCCTCACTCTTAATCAAATGATGTAAACTGTTTCAACTAAACTAATTTTCTCCTTCACATCCTGTTAATGCGGGTTGTTAATCTAATAATCAAATATTTAAAAATAAATCCTTGGAAAACAGAAAATTAATGTCTCACAAGACGTTACTTTGATTCTACACTTTTCCATTGAATTTGATTGGTTATTCTCAAATTGCATTAAATGTTTCTAAAATATCCTCTTTAATTATTTTAACCAAAGGAAAAAAAATCACAATAGCAAGACAAAACAAACATGCAACATACCAAGAAGTACTAGGTCAAATGGAAGAAATTTGAACACTTTAAGCATTATGTTCCAAGTTAGATCTTTACGATGGTGCATACGGAGAAAAACATTATTAGTAGGAGTCCACACTTCAGCGTCTGACAATACCCAAAAAATTATCCCTTATTGTGTGGGTGGGAGATACCCCGGGCCAAAAAAATAAATGCCAGATGACATTCGAACAGAAGAGGGAGAGAATGGAGCGGCAGATAAGGCACGGAAACCCCTCTCCGCAAGAAACTAAGCACGTGAACTAAGGACCCCTCTATGATTGTGTAAGGAAATTCCACAAGATAGTTTGGCTGTTACAAAATGACAGACCAATCTTCCTGTAGATGAAACAGTATAAACAGCATATCTCCCTCAGATGCGGCCCCGGCAACGTAGTTCACATTATAACTCAGCATCATCATTGATTGATAAACAACAAACACCACATAATCATCGGTTGTTTAGTACAATTAACAACAAATTATATTATTTTCATACATGAAATTGTGTCAAAGGCCCTGTTCAGGAAACACATTGTATCCAAGTCCAGAAGATTAGATTACTCTGGTTCCAGTCATCAAGTTGTAAATTTTAAAATTAAAATGAGAAAGACGTCAAGGCCGCCGAAACTGGAGCCATCCATCCTTCCAAAATCAGAGGCACAGACTTTATTACATTTCTTGCTATCCACCAGTATGCTTACCCCTAAGACATTATAAGAGAAGCTCAATCAGATTTGCAACTGACGTTAAATTATTACTTCAAATAGAAACATAAAAATAGTGGCAACCAGCTTTAGCCATATACCCACAAGATACTCTAGCACACTCAATCAAATCATCAAGTCGTGTTGATGTCTTATGCGTTACCCAATTGCTTCTTGACGTTTAGAGCTCATATTTCTACTTGGTCACAAGTCACAATCACAAGCAAGCAACATATTCAATAAAAGCCAGTTGAAGTAAATTAAAAAAGAAAAGAAGGAAGAAGATGGGCATATCGAAAGTAGTTCTAAGCCCAACTTGTAGAAATCATAGCCTCTAAATAAAGGAAATGCAGATCGCTGAGCCACGATGAGGTTGAATTGATTGAATTCCACAAGACAGGTTAAAGGGTATTGTATAAGCAAAATACCAAGACAGTATCAAAGAACAACCATCTACTCATTTGTATCAAATCTTTTCTTTATCTAAATAGGGACAGATCTCGAACGATATCAGCAATACTGTCGCACACATTAAGCATCTACCGTTACACTGTAATAACACGCTGGTATATTTCAACAATGGGGTGGATGGTTATTTAGATGAGTTCATGCTAGCCCAAAAGCTCGAGTTCCCATATGCATATCTCCCTCTTGCATCGATAAAGAGTACATTACAAACCAAAATTTTATTTAGACTTGATTAAAACCAAAGGCACATCATTCCACAACAGTATAGGCAGCAAAAGTATCCATTAACATTTTGTGCCAGATCAAAGAATTGAAATTTAATTATTGTCTGAAAAATAAAAGAAGTTATTTATATAATTATGAACCCCCCCCCTTCACTTTTACACTGCTTTCAGACTCAATCATAACAAAATTAGAAAAGATGAAAACTTTTATAAAGTAACTAGAAAGAGTGTCACAAAAAAAAAAAAAAGTAATTAGAAAGAGAGATCCAAGAAACAACCTTGGTACAAAGTCTAAGCAGCAGCCTCCAGCAACTCCCTCTCTGCACGTTCTTTAATTCTTCTCTCAAGCTCTGGTCTAAAATGCCTGATAAGACCCTGCACTGGCCAAGCAGCAGCATCACCCAAGGCACAAATTGTGTGTCCTTCAATTTGCTTTGTCACCTCCTGAAGCATATCAATTTCTTCTAGCTTTGCATTCCCAATTTTCAATCTTTCCATGATCATCCAGAGCCATCCAGTTCCCTCTCTGCATGGTGTGCACTGGCCACAACTTTCATGTTTGTAGAAGTAAGAAAGCCTTGCAATGGCGTCCACAACATCAGTTGACTTATCCATCACAATCACGGCTGCAGTACCCAACCCTGACTGGACAGCTTTGAGTGCATCATAATCCATTAAAACATCATCACATATATGCTTGGGAATTAGAGGAACAGATGATCCTCCTGGAATTACTGCGAGCAAATTATCCCACCCTCCTCTAACACCTCCGCAGTGCCTCTCTATCAACTCCTTCAGGGGAATACTCATTTCCTCCTCAACAGTGCAAGGCTTGTTCACGTGCCCAGACACACAAAATAATTTTGTCCCGGAATTATTCTTCCTGCCAAAACTGGCAAACCATTCTGGCCCACGTCTTAAAATAGTAGGAGAAACAGCCACTGTCTCCACATTTGTCACAGTGGTAGGACAACCATACAACCCTGCATTGGCGGGGAAAGGTGGCTTTAATCTTGGTTTACCTTGTTTCCCTTCAAGACTTTCCAGAAGTGCTGTTTCCTCACCACAAATGTAAGCACCAGCACCATAGTGGATATGCACATCAAAATCATAGCCTGAGCCACAGGCATTTTTACCCAATAAACCAGCTGCATAAGCCTCTTTCCTAGCCTTTTCCAGGTTTTTCCGCTCATTTACATATTCACCCCTTATATAAATATAAGCAGCACTAGCCCGCATTCCCACTCCAGCAATCAAGCATCCTTCTAACAATTTATGCGGGTCATGCCGCATAATTTCCCTGTCTTTGCAAGTCCCAGGTTCACTTTCATCAGCATTGACAACAAGATAGGAAGGACGCCCATCAGATGCTTTTGGCATGAATGACCATTTGAGGCCAGAAGGGAAACCAGCACCACCACGTCCACGAAGGCCGGACTTCTTTACTTCATTTACAATCCAATCAGTCCCCTTAAGTACCAGATCTTTAGTTCGATGCCAATCACCCCGTTTCATGGCACCTTTGAGAAAAGGATCATGTAACCCATATAAGTTGGTAAAAATCCGGTCCTCATCTTTAAGGCCGCCAAAATGGGTTTTCTCTGGAGGTGGAGGCGGTGGCGGTGGCGGTGGCGGCGGCGCAGCCTGAGGAGTACCAGTAGTAGAAGCACCCTGAGTGCTAAATAATCTGTAACCAACACCGCACTTCTCACTATGATGTCGGACTAGGGATGTCCTCTGGAGAGACAGAATGCTCTTCATGGTTTCCTCACAGAAATTTCTATTGTCAGCAAAACATTAAGGGTTAATGTTGGGAGCTGACAGTGACCAGATTATAATTCCTATTAACCAAAAGCAGTATACTCAAATTGGCTACAGGATTCAGCCCCAGTTACCAACCATTAATTTAACCATATGATTCAAAAGCATTGCTATATAAACAATGAATCAGTAAGCAGACTGGATTGCGCATTCAAATTTCTGAAAAATACAATCTCTAATCAGACAAGGCTCTGTAACTGAATAAATGGACACATCGAGATCTGTATACACTTCATTATCTACTTATCCAAAATAAAACTTGTTTTAAAGAGGGGAAAAAAATAAAACATTGAAAACACTTAAAGCATCATCAAACAATAGCCATTAAGGTTTAGCCTTTTCAAAAATGAAAATACCGAACACTCAGGTCACCATTACAAAAGCACAGACTGAACATTGTTAAGAAAACCCATCATTATCCTAGCCCAACACAACCAGTCGTGATCAGTACATTTGAGATAAAACACTCGGCTTTAAAAAAAAAAAAAACCAGAATTCCAACTTCTCCAATGGTCATAGGATATCTTGAACATTTTGTAGCTTTGCGAAAATTGGAGGGATTGGAAACCATAATGGTATCAATCAAAGAATTTATTAAATCCGATGAACAAAATTAAAACCACAAGGAGCCCCTTTCTTGCCAGTCTCACCCTCTATTTAAACTTCTCTCTCCTCTATCTCTACTTCCACTCCTCCGCGAATGCAAATAGGTTCGATCGCATTCTATGCGAAAATCAACCACACAAGCGGCCACCTCAAACCCTCTCTTTCAACTTCGAAGCTCAAATCTCACATTGATTATGATCTAGGGCACAAATTTGAACTCTATGACTCAGTTTTGACGAAAGATAGCCGAAACAACGGAAGATGAGGAAATGAAGAGTCACGTACCAGTGTGCAACGCTTTGATCGGATTCTGCTACAGTAGGATCCGGTGGTGCTTCTGAACTCTAAAATTGGGAGTGGCTTTGTAAGCTGAGCTAGGGTCGATTGAGCCAAAAGAGCTCTTTCGGCAAAACTGTCCCCATTTTATTTATACATATAAGTATACTTATATGCATGTGTATATTAGTGTTTTCCCCCTTTTATTTAACTAACAAAGTGATAACTAATGTACTAAATATTTTTAGTTATAAATTTACAAAAACGGTCAATACTGATAATTTGATCAATAAATTTTTACTACCTCCGGTCTTTAATATAAGACCCTATTTGACTTTTATTTTGATCTTAAATATAAGACCTCAATCCACTTTGTCTCTCATATTTATATATTTTTTTTCCTAAAGTAGCCCTTCTAATAATAAGAGTTCTAGTCATTACACTTAATTAACAAGGATATTTTAGAAAATACAACACCTATCTATGACAAATAACTAACTCAACTTACTTCTTTAATCTCCTCAAAGTAATCAACTGGCTCTTATAATTAGGCCCGGAGGTAGTATTATGTAGGTGTCTAAGTGATAAACTTAAAATTTTTTTTAATTAATTTATAAATTTGATACTAGTCCTTCGTAATATTCTTGTTTTTGTTATGTTATGCCATGACCTAACTAAACACCGACCTTTTTATTGCTAAGATTTGGAGTTCAAAAGACCATCGCGTGGCTAGGATGGCCAAGACGTGGCTCATGTCACGTCTAAAATATAAATCACTTAATGTAATAAAGGTTCACATTAAAGCGGGAAAAGGAAATATGCTTAACTTTTTGTACTTCTATAATTTTTTTTGTTAGAAAAAAACACATTTTTTAATGTTTAGATTACAGATAGTAATTTTTTTAGGGAGATGGATATTTTCTAATTGAACTATAATTTGGTATAAAAAATTAATATGCACTCATCAATGTTTTAATTGAAAAACCTGTTATTCAAAGTTATGTTTCGTGGTCTATATGTCTAAAATATAAATCACTGGATGTAATAAAGGTTCACATTTGTGGGAAAGTATGTCGCCTTAAGAGGTCCTTGTATGGTTTGAAGCAAAGTCCTCATGCATCCATGTAGAATATAGAATAATATGGAAAATAATTCTCTTGTATTTCATTGCTTAGAATATGCACATATATATACAAGTGGGAGGAGCCTTTGCATTAATAGCTCATTATGATAATATCATATCATATCATATCCTAATCATAATTACATAATATCATATCATATCTCTACACTCCCCCTTAAGTTGGAGCATAGATGTTAATCATGCCCAACTTGTTACACAGATAGTCAACACGAGTCTCATTTAGAGCCTTAGTCAAAAGATCCCCTAATTGATCACTAGAGCGAACATATCCAGTAGAGATGAAGTTCTCTTTAAGCTTGTCTCTGATAAAGTGATAATCAATCTCAATATGTTTGGTACGTTCATGGAACACAGAATTAGAGGCTATATGTAGGGCAGCCTTATTGTCACACCACAACTTTGCTGGCAAAGTAGTTTTGAGGCCAACCTCCGTCAGTAACTGATATATCCAGATTATTTCACATACAGACTGTGCCATAGCCCGGTATTCTGCCTCTGCGCTCGATCGGGACACCACATTTTGTTTCTTGCTTTTCCAGGATACCAGATTCCCGCCCACAAAGACACAGTATCCTGTAGTAGACCGTCTCGTGGCCTTTGATCCACCATGATCCGCATCACAGAAGCACTCAATGTCTGTATGACCATGATTTTTGTATAATATCCCACGACCTGGACATCCCTTCAAATAATGTAACACGTGTTCCAAGGCTTCCCACTGTCTGACAGTCGGGGATGCCATGAACTGGCTTAGTACACTAAGTGAATAAGTAATATCCGGACGAGTTACAGTGAGATAGTTTAACTTGCCAATCATTCTCCTGTACCTCTCAGGATTCTCAAATGGTTTGCTCTTTTGAGCCTTAAGCATCCGTTTCTCATCATCAAGAGAGTCATCAGGCGGTATGCTCCCATCAGCGTCAAGGAGTGGGTTGTGAACCATAGGGAAATTAGTCGGTGCTGCTCCCAACTTCCCAGTTTCCTTTAGTAGGTCAAGGACATATTTGCGCTGTGTCAGTAATACGCCCTTCTTGCTTCTCATAACTTCAATACCTAGAAAGTATGTCAGAGAGCCCAGATCCTTCGTCTGAAAGTGGGAATTAAGAAAGGACTTGAGGGACGAGATGCCTGAATCATTACTGCCTGTGATCACAATGTCATCTACATATACCACCAAGAGAATCATGCCAGCCGCTGTTCTCTGATAAAATACAGAATGATCGCACTTGCTTTGACTCATGCCAAATTTCTGTACAACAGTGCTGAACCGGTCAAACCATGCACAAGGACTTTGCTTCAAACCATACAAGGACCTCTTAAGGCGACATACTTTCCCACACTCTCCCTGAGCAACGAACCCAGGTGGTTGCTCCATATAGACCTCTTCATGGAGATCCCCATGCAAGAAGGCATTTTTAATGTCTAACTGATGTAAATCCCAATCATAAGTAGCAGCCAGAGAGATGAACAGACGAACAGATGGGAGCTTAGCAACAGGAGAAAAGGTTTCAGAATAGTCAATGCCATAGGTCTGTGCATAACCTTTAGCCACAAGGCAAGCCTTAAGGCGATCAAGTGTGCCATCAGCCTTAGTTTTCGGAGTTAACACCCATTTACATCCAATGGCCTTTTTACCTGCCGGTAAATTGACCAGAGTCCATGTATTTGCCCGATCAAGGGCTGCCATCTCCTCTTCCATTGCAGCACGCCAACCCGAGTGGGCCAAGGCTTCACGAATAGTTCTGGGCATAGAGATAGTATCTAGGGAGGCAACAAAGGAATTGGACACAGGAGATAAGTGGTCATAGGAAACAAAAGATGAAATAGGATGGGCACAAGTACATTTACCTTTGCGAAGGGCAATGGGTAGATCAAGAGAGGCATCCGGGTCTGGAACAGGAGGTGTCTCAGGATTAGGGTCAAAACGAGGCTCAGTGGTGCTCAACTCAGGATCTGATGGCGAAGCAGACAAGGGAGGAATAGAAGCCGGCGTGGCGGTAGTAATCTCCTTTGACCATCGTGCATACACATGATCAAATGGTTGAACGGGTGCGGGAGCGGGTGCTTGCGATGACGGTGATGGTGAAGTGACAGAGTACAATAGAATGTCATCCTCCTTCGCAGGTGGAGCAGGTGGGGAAGAACACAAGAAATATGGTGTGGACTCCTGAAAGGTGACATCTGCAAATACTAAATAACGATTGAGAGTAGGTGAGAAACAACGATAACCTTTTTGGACCCGGGAGTATCCAAGGAAGACACATTTAAGAGACTTGGGGTCTAACTTTGAAATATATGGACGTACATTCCGCACAAAACAGACACACCCAAATATCTTAGGAGCAATAGGGAACAAAGGCTTAGAAGGAAAGAGGGTAGAAAAAGGAGAGTTACCATCAAGAACAGAGGAAGGCATTCGATTAATAAGAAAGCATGCAGTGGAGACCGCGTCAGCCCAAAATGGTTTAGGAACCTGCATTTGAAACAAAAGTGCACGTGTCACTTCAAGTAGGCGGCAATTTTTCCTTTCGGCAACACCATTTTGAGCTAGTGTATCAACACAAGACGATTGATGAAGTATACCATTTTGAAGCATGTAAGATTGGAACGAAGCAGAGAGATATTCTTTAGTATTATCACTTCGTAAGGTGCGAATAGAAACATTAAATTGAGTTTTAATCTCGGCACAAAAGGCACAAAAATGGGAAAACAATTCAGAACGATGTTTCATTAAATATAACCAAGTTGTTCGGGAATAATCATCAACAAATGTAACAAAGTATTTAAACCCTGCTTTGGACTCTACAGGACAAGGACCCCAAACATCAGAATGGACTAACTCAAAAGGGGATGAAACCCGTTTATTGACACGAGACACTAAGGGAAGACGATGATGCTTGGCAAACTGACATGACTCACAATCTAAAAACGACAAATGCTGAAATTCAGGATAAACTCTCTTGAGAGAAGATAAAGACAAATGACCCAATCGACAATGAATTTCAAAGGGAGAATGACTGCTAGCGCAAGCCACCGCATGAGACACCCGATCATCCAATATATAGTGCCCGCCAGATTCATAACCTCTACCAATAATCCGCCTCGTCAAAAGATCCTGTATCAAGCAATGAGAAGGAAAAAGTGAGACCCAACAGTTTAGTTGACGGGTGAGTTTACTGGGAGATAGGAGATTGAAAGCAAGTTTAGGGACATTTAGCACAGATGACAAACAGATAGAGGGAGTGGGATTAACAGTGCCAGAACCGAGAACCTGAGACTGGGAACCATCAGCGATGGAAACATTTGACGGATTAGCAAAAGCATTATAAGAGGAGAAGAGATGGCAGTTACCTGTCATATGATCAGTAGCCCCGGAATCTATGATCCACTTTGAGGAAGAAGAAGCAAGGGCAGTAGCATTATTGCCTGTTGTAGCCGCGGCACTCACAGACGGCGTAGCAGATTTTAACTGGGCATACTCAGCGGCAGAGATCGTGACTGTGTCACTGGCTTGTGTAGCCACGTGGGCAAAGTTATTTCGTTGCTGTTTATTCTAAAGTTTTCGACATGTGCGTTTTGTATGCCCTGGTTCTTTGCAGTAATAACACACTACCCCACTGGAGTCAGAAGGGGCTCTCCCTTGCTTCGAACCACCACGGGTAGGCCCCCCGCGGTTATCACTGGGACTACGAGTCTCATAGGTGCCCTTACTGAGCAAGGCACTTGTAGGAATACTAGCAGCTGGTGGCAAGAGATTCTCAGCTTCATTACTCTGGAAAACACATCTTGAAGGTCAGAAATCTCATATCCGGATAAGATTTGAGAGCGAACTGTGTCGTACTCAGGTGGGAGACCAGTAAGAAAGCTCATAATAGCCATTTGCTCCCATTGCTTATGCTGAACCTTTAAATCAGCAGTAAGCGGCATTAACACATTCAGCTCTTCATACATCCTCTTAAAGTCCATAAAGTAGGCTTTGAGAGGGCGATCCTGTT